AAATTAAAACACAGCTAGGAAAATCTTTTTACCAAGTTTAGCAAATAATTTAACTGTACAAAATTAAAATATGTTGTATATATTCATTATATTAAGAACTAATATAAGTTTCTCTGGAACTACAGTGAAGAAATCAGTATTTAAAAAGATAAATAAAAGATAGTGACTCCAGGGAGGGAAACTGGGCAAGTGGGACAAGTATGTAAGGTAAGCATTTCTTATACTCTTTTACCTGTTTAAAAAAAAAAAAAGGCAACAAAATATCTTTAAAGTACTATTGGTATTAAAAATTAAAAATATTAACTGACAGGTAATATTTTTAAAATATACTTCAAGTATATTAACAAGAAAAATACTAAGAAAAAATTAATAGAAAAATGAATAAAACATATAAGCAGACACTTCACAAAAAAAATATATATATATAATTAATCATAAAAAAATAACTCAAAATGGATCAGAGACCTAAATGTAAGTGCTAATATAAACTCTTAGACAAAAACAAATGCATTAACCTTTGCAGTCCTGGACTTGGCAATGGTTTCTTAGATGTGACACCAAGTATAAGCAAAAAAATAAAAAAACTGATTGGGTTTCATGAAAATTAAAAGCTTTTGTGATGGGGCGCCTGGGTGGCTCAGTTGGTTAAGCGACTGCCTTCGGCTCAGGTCATGATCCTGGAGTCCCGGGATCGAGTCCCGCATCTGGCTCCCTGCTTGGTAGGGAGTCTGCTTCTCCCTCTGACCCTCCCCCCCTCTCATGCTCTCTCTCACTCTCTCTCTCTCAAATAAATAAATAAATAAAATCTTTAAAAAAAAAAAAAGCTTTTGTGATGTAAACAATATCATCAAGAAAGTGAAAAGGTACTCCACAGAATAGATTTGCAAATCATATATCTGACAAGGGAAATGTATCCAGAATACATAAAAACCTCTTACAACTCTATAATAAAAAGATAAATAATCCAACTTAAAAATGGGCAAAGGATCTGAATAGACATTTCTCCAAAGAAGATATACAAATGACCAGTAAGTACATGGAACGACACTCAATGTTATCAGACATCAGGAAAATGCAATTCAAAGCCACAATGAGATACCATTTCACAAACCACTAGGATAGTTAAAATCAAAAAGACAAGTGCTGACAAGGATGTGAAGAAATTAAAACCCTAATACACTGCTGGCAAGAATGTAAAATGGTGCAGCCGCTTTAAGAAAATAGTCTGGCAGTTCCTCAAAAAGTTAAACATAAAGTTATCATATGAACCAGCAATTCCATCCTGGATATACACCCAAGAGAAATGAAAACACATGTCCACAGAAAACCTGAATGCAAATGTTCAAAGTAGCATTATTCATAATAGCCACAAAACGGAAACAACCCAAATGTCCATCAACTGATGAATGGATAAGCAAAATGTGGTACACTCATATAATGGAATATTATGCAGCCATAAAAAATGAAGTAATGATACACGTTACAGCATTTATAAACCTTGAAAATATTACCCTAATTAATCTTCTAAGTTTGCAAAGCCAAAGCCCAGGGTCTGAATCATAGGGTCTTTACTGAATTTCAACTACTCAATAAGACATAACCAAAAATTTTCATTTTTAAAATGGGATAGTAGCAAATTACAGGTAGACAGTTGGATGTATTGGCTCCCAAGTTCCAGAAATAGCTGAGGCCATGGAAGAGAATGAGATAGACAGAAAACATGCAGCTTAAGATGATGATGAAATATCACACCAGCTTTTTAAGGAAAAGAGCCAACCAAAGATACTGAGAAAGTAACAGAGGGATAAAGGAGAAACCAAAAGAAAGTAATAAACTCAAGAAAAGAGGGGTGCCTGGCTGGCTCAGTCAAGTGGAGCATGCAACTCTTGATCTCAGGGGTTTTGAGTTATAGCACAACGTTGGGTATAGAGATTGCTTAAAAATAATATCTTAAAAAAAAAAGACAAACCCATCAAGAAAAGAGTTGTAACAAATAGACTTACAGAGAAATAAATGGGAATACGAATCTAAAACGATTCAACCTTTTCACTCATATCCTTGGTGAGGATAGAGCCAACTGTCTTGAGTTGAGCAATAAATGAGGATTAAAGAAAAGGAGGCAGCTGAGTGTAAATGACTTTCAAGAGGAAAGGATTAGGTTGGGTTTTATTATTGTTGTTGTTTTTAAAGTCTAGAGACTGAGTCTCAAGGGAAGCAGCCAGGAGTGAGCAACACAGGACAGTGAAAAAAACTGCTTGATCAATGTCCTAGAGGACAAAGGGACAAATTAGATTGGGGGCTAGGTTGAAGGATTAGCCTTGGACAAACCTCATTAAAATAAAAATGTCAGTATGTAAATGCAGTAATACATTATATACCTGCACCCGTGGGGAAGAGTTTGACATAACTGCATTTTCCAGATATTTAAGCATCTTTTCTTTCAGCTATTTCCTTTGAAATTGTTCACCACTGTATCATATGGTATCTTCTTAAACATAGTGTGCTTTCCTGGATGACTTAGGTCATTGTGACTGATTATTGTACTAGGAAGTAATATAGCTGAGTCTGCATGTTAATTTTTCAAATCTTCTTGGACTGTCCTACATTGTCAGTTGCCATTTTCGCTGGTATATTTCCCGTGATAACCCTTTTCACTTGTGCTTCCAACAGATTCTAGTTTGAAAATTACAAAACCATTAAATAATACCCTAAATAAGGGACAATACAATTCTGAATCAAAGTACAACAGTAAAGTGCACGGTTTTATGACAACTCTCTCCAGGACTAAGAAACCTGTTTCACTTTTCAATTCATTTGAGACTGGGTTTCAAAAAGTTGAGGATATCAGAAGACTGACTTTTGACTTGGAATATTACTTTATTTTGCTTCCTTAAGTCATATCAAAACATCCCTACCAAGTAACTGATAATGTTATATGGTTAGTCTTAAGGCACCAAAAAAAAAAAAGATCATGCTGATGCCTAAACATCTCACACTAACTAAATATACTTTCTTGTCTTATTATCACTTACCAATAAAAAGTTATAATTTTCTACACTTCATTTCTGTATGCTAATATAGTCATGCATTTTTTACATATATGGATACTATTCATGATAAATGTACATCCTTCACAAAATCTTGGCTTTAATCCCTTTCAGATTTCACAACTACAAACAGCACAGGGCTGAAAAGGACTAGAATTCGGTACACGGGCAGTCAATTAACCAAAACTTAACAATTCATTCCTTTAGTTTCAATACCATGAAATAGCTTGATTTCATTCATTCTTAAGATTCTGGTGATCTAGCCATTCTATTTCTGGGTATCTATCTGGAAAAACAAAACAAAACAAAAAAACATGAACTTGGAAAGATTATTTGCACTCCCATGTTCAATGCATTATTTACAATAGCCAAGACATGGAAGCAACCTAAGTGTCCATCAACACATGAACAAATAAAGAAAATGTGGTATATAAAATGGAATATTACTCAGCCACAAAAAAGGGGAAATCTTGCCATTTGCAACACGGATGGACCTTGAGGGCATTATGTTAAATGAAATAAGTTAGACAAAGACAAGCAAATACTGTATGGTCTCACTTATATGTGGAATCTAAAAAAACAAAACAAAATAAAAACAAACTCACAGATACAGAGACAGATCCGTGGTTGCCGGAGAGGAAGTGTGGGGTGGAGTGCTGGGCTATGAACTAGGTGAAAGTGATCAAAAGGTACAAGCTTCCAGTTACAAAATAAGTCCTGGGGATGTAATGCACAGCATGGTGACTATAATAAATGATACTATATTGTGTATTTTTAAGTGTTTAGAGAGAAATCTTGTAAGTTCTCATCAAAATAAAAAACAATACTGTAACTACTGGGGTGCCTCAGCTCACTTGGTTAGGTGACCGACTCTTGATTTCAGCTCTGGTTGGGATGTCAGGGTGGTGATATTGAGCCTCGAGTTGGACTTCACACAGGGAGTCTACTTGAAATTCTCTCCCTCTCCCTCTGCCCCTGCCTTTGCATGCCTGGTGCTGGTGCCCTCCTGCAGCAGCACGCGTGCTCTCTCACTCTCTCTCTAAAATAAATAAACGAATAAATCCTTAAAAAATATATTGTAACTATTTACAGTGATGGATGTTCACTAGACGTACTGTGATCATTTCCAAAAGACACTCAAATATGGAATCATTATGTTGTACGCGTGAATATAATTAAGTTACATGTCAAGTATATCTCAATTAAAAAGATTCTGGATGATTCTATAGCTCTCTACTTTACATATCAAAAACAAAAACAAAACCAACATTGCTTCTCCAGCACTCTTCCTATTCCTTAAATTTTTTCTTCGTATTAATAAAAATTAACGTATGTAGAATTTCTCAGCCGGACAGAGCTTGTAAATGGCCTGACCAACTCCAACGGAAACATCTTCAGGCTCACTGGTCTAGAGCATGAGAGGCAGGAGCATCTGTACCCTTTGCCCCTGTATTCCAATTATTTATGTATATCTCCCCTTCTAAGTCACAAACTGAGGCAAGAATCTTCTTATGTAACGATTCCATTCAATCCCTTGACAAATGTTTTGAGCACCTAGCATTTGCTAGTCTCTGGAGAGAGCTGAGTTAAGCAATTCCTGCCCTCGGTCCTGCAGAGCAGGCAGGCCTGTAAACAAATTACAACGCGAGCAAAAACAGAAGTGAGTACAGAAAAACTAAATCAGAGGAGGGATTAACTCTAGGGATGCTGGAGGAACTTCAGGGATACATTTATGTGTTCTCCAAAAGGACTTCAATAAATACCTGTTGAATGGACGAATGAATGAATGAATGAATGAATGAAAATCTTGCTAATGAAAGAGGAGGTCCCGGGTCCAACTGAGAGGCTGCTTCTGGAAATCAGTGGGTAACTTCACCTTTCAACAACTGCACAAATGCAGACTCCAGCATACTTACCCCACCTGAGGAAATCACCCTGAAGAAAGTGCCGTACCTGTACTGCCAGCCCTTCGCCCCGCCGCCGCGGCCGCTGCCGCCGCCGCCGCCGCCGACTCCACCCCCACAGCTGCTGTTGCCGCTGTTCTTGTTCGGGGTCACCGCGGCGGCCAGGCCCTCCAGCTTGCCTTCACTCTCTGACACTTTCATTGCCGACACTGGTTCACCCCCCTGCATCTTAACGCCAAAGTCCATTTGCCCTTCTTGCGCGGGAGAGAACAACTCCGCAGAGGAGTTTTGTAGGTGATTAATTCTTAAGATTTGATCCGAAGGTGATTCCGGTTACCAAATCAGGCCGCGGCTGGAGTGGGAATCATCAAATGGTCCAGGGAAGGAATACAAGCATTCCTACCGAAGGCAAACTTTTAAGAGGGCAGGGGTGGCAATGAGGACGGAGATCCTTTAAATATGTATCTCCCTCCCGGCAAAAGCTAGGAGGAAAAAAGCTCACCCTGCCAGAGGGTTTGGTGGCATACTCAGAAGCTGGAGCAGCGTGGAGAGGGCGCGGACTCGAGCCAAGACGGCGGGGCGAAGGACGGAGGACCACGGAGCGCGACCCGAGGCCTGACCTCTGAGCTGACGGCCTGACCCACCGCGCTCCCTCTTCTCCTCCAGCGGGTCCTCTGAGGGAGGGTTCCGTCCAGCCCGCTCGACGGTTCCCGCCGCAGCCCCCGAGACAGAGCTGCGGCCGCCCGCGCGCAGCCCAGGAGGAGGGACCGGGAAGGAGGCCGCCGGGGGCGGGACGCCGGCTCCCAGGGCCGTCCCTCGTTCGACCCGTGGCGAGCCTCTCGGAGTGACTTCCTCCAACCCCTCCGGCCCTGGGACCTCGACTGGGCTCCCAAGCGCCGGCGAGCTTCTCGCCCTCTCTCCAGCCCCAAACGCGAGCGGCACAGCTGCGGCCGCCGCCCCACCCACAATCCCACGGCGGGTCACCCACCCGCCTGCTCTTTCCCCGCCTTCCCTTCCGGAGTAGCGTGAGCTCACTTCCGCCAGAGCAGACGCGCCTGGCGCCATCTTGGCGCAGGGCACGCGGCCCTGAAGGGGGCGGAGCCTCGGGGTAGCAGTGCTGGGAAGGTTGACCCGGAAGAAGGGAAAGGACCGAGGGAGGGGCGCCTGGGTGGCTCAGTTGGTTAAGCGACTGCCTTTGGCTCAGGTCATGATCCTGGAGTCCCGCATCGAGTCCCGCATCGAGTCCCGCATCGGGCTCCCTGCTCGGCAGGGAGTCTGCTTCTCCCTCTGACCCTCCCCCCTCTCATGTGCTCTCTCTCTCACTCTGTCAAATAAATGAATAAATAAAATCTTAAAAAAAAATTAAAAAAAAAAAAAGAAAGGACCGAGGGAGAAGGAGGTGGGACAGCCAAGGAGCAGGAAACCAAGAAGTGGTCCAATGTTGTGCCCTTGCGAAGTGTGACTTCCAGCCTTCCTCACCAGGTCCTGTCCAACCATTTGAGGGCCCATTCCAGGCATTTTAGAAAGAAGGCTTAGAAAAATGTCATTTCTATAATAAGAAATTACAAAAAAACTCCATTTTAGTAATTTTGGGAAAAATGCACGACAACGGGATAGGGCAACTCAGTGCAGAAATTAGAGCTCTCAAAATCAACTCCTGCTGACCCCAGACAACTCTTTCACACTCTTCAGACTTTGGTTTGGGATCTGTAAAGTAGAAGTAATTGACAGGTGATTTTCATCGGGCTCCCTGCTCCGCCTTCTCCCACTCCCCCTGCTTGTGTTCCCTCTCTCGCTGTCTCTGTCAAATAAATAAAATCTTTAAAAAAAAAAAAATTGACAGGTGATTTTTTTACGTCCCATCTAATTGTAAATTCTAGTTTCTCTAGTTTCTAACAACATGACTTGTGAGTTGAATGTATACAATATGCAAAACACTATGGAAAATGCAAAGAAGTATTACTCAAAAGTAAAAAAGTAAAGTAGTAAAATAAATGCAGATATATAGAGAGATAATTAAAGCTATGAAGAAAATTATAGGAGATGATACAAGAAATAAGTGGGATGGGAATCTACGAGAAAAGTTGAGAAAAAATGGACATCTCATTGAGATGTATGGACATACCACATTTTACATTTCCACCAGGAGTGTGTGAGGGGCCTAGTTTCTTCACATGCCTCATCAACATTGGTTATTGTCTATCTTTTTTATTACAGCCATCTGTAAAATGGTATTGTAATAGCTACAGGATTTAAAGTAGAAGTTCACTTTTCTGAAAGCCTTCAAAGAAGGATACGTTCATCTCTATGAAGAGTTTATTGTGCATTCGTCAGTGTTCTACCTGGATGATGGATCAGTGCATCCTTCCCCGTGGAAAGAAGCTGCATAGCATAGTGGTCAAGAACATTTTATTAACATTCAGTTTAAAAAGCTTTA